TCATCATACTAATCTCTCCCACAACCCCCCCCTCTCCTCAGTCTCCCTCTTCCTCTCATCATCTCTCTCGAGCGTGCTCACTCTCCATCCAAAGAAGATCTCTCTCTCTCGTCGTCATCTCTCTCTCTCTCTCTCTCTCTCTCCCCCTCTCTCTCCTCCTCTCCTCGTCGCTCTCTCTCCTCCCATCTCTCCCTCTGTCCCTCCCTCCCTCCCTCCGCTCCCTCCTCCCTCCTCCTCCCACCCCCCCTCCCCCCTCCCATTCTCTCGTCCGCCCTCTCTCTCTCATCTCTCTTCTCTCTGCATGTAAGTCTGTATGATGTAATCATGCATAAATGTGTATTTACATGTGCGTGTTTGCCAGCTTGTACTTAAGTTATTTTTCTCAGGCTTGATTCAAATGTCATGCAATCACATATTTAGATCAACACTGTCATGAGAATGCATGGCGATCACCACACCCGTCTTTGTTCATCGCTTATCAATTATCAATCACTCTCACCATCTTCATTATCAGTATCGTCATCGTCATCGTCATCATCATCATCATCATCATCATTATCAATTATCATTATCATTATCATTATCATTCATCATCATACATCATTCATCATCATCATCATCATCAATCATCATCATCATCATCATCATCCATCATCATCAATCATCATCATCATCATCATCAATCATCATCATCATCAATCATCATCATCAATCATCATCATCAATCATCATCATCATTCATCATCATCATCCACCACACCACCCACCACCATCATCATCACCATCACCTGCATGAGAGAGCATGACATTCCTCCCACCGACATGACAATCATCCATCTCATGTCCGCGCATGGACAAGTTGGGGGAGGGGGGAGGAGGGGGGGGGGACCTCGATCGGCATGGTTTGTGTTCCCTTGGCTTGCTAGTCCAGGAGGGGGGTGGGGGAGGGGGAGTGGAAAGGGGGTGGGGAGGGGGAGTGGGAAAGGGGGTGGGGAGGGGAGGGGAAGGGGGAGAGGGCTGGGGTTAAAGAGGGGGTGGGAGGGAGGGGGAGGGTTACTGGGGTTAAAGAGGGTGGTGGGAGGTGGGGGAGAGTAGGGAATGGATGGGGGGAGGGAGGGAGGGGATAGGGGTAGGGGATACCGGGGGAGTCTCTCTTCTTTCCTCTTTTCTCTCCCTCCCTCGCTTCCTTTCTCTTTCTTCTTCTCTCCCTCTGTCTCTCTTTCTTCCTCTCCCTCTCTCCCTTTCTCCCTTCTTTTTCTGCCTTCTCTCTCCCTTAACCTCTCCCTCCCTCCCACTCTCCCATAACCTCTCCCTTCTTCCTCCCTCAACTTCTCTCTTCCCCCTTCCTCCAACCTCTCCTCCCTCCCTTTCTCTCTCCCTCCTCCCATTCTCTCTTCCTCCCTTCCTCCTAGAACCTCTCCTTCCCTCCCTTTACCCCTCCCTCCCTCCCTCTCTCCCTTTCTCCCTCCCATTCTCTCCTCCTTCCCTCCCTCCCTCCCTTCCATTCTCCCTCAACCTCTCCTTCCCTCCTATTCTCCTCCTCTATCTCTCCTTCCCTTCTCTCTCTCCCTCCCATTCTCTCTCCCTCCCCTCTCCCTCAATCAACCTTCCATTTTCCTGCACTTGAGACCGTCAACCAGAAGCACTCTATTGTCCATCTCCCGAGGTCAGATACCAGCCAAGGCGATATCTCTTCAACTGTTGTTAAAAAAAAAAAAAAAAAAAAAAAGGAAAAGAAAAATGCTTTCGTTGATGTTGAATCTCTTTGGCGCATTTTTTTTTTTTTTTTTTTAACTTTTTTTTTTCTCAAAAGGTACGTATAAAAAATGAAAAGAAAAGGAAAATGCTTTCGTTAATGTTGAATCTCTTTGGTTCATTTTTTTTTTTTTACTTTTTTTCTCAAAATGGTACGTATAAAAAAGGAAAAGAAGACGGAAATGCTTTCGTTAATGTTAAATCTCTTTTATGCATCTTTTTTTTTTCTCTCATAAAGGCGCGTATAAAAAAAAAAAAAAATTTTCGTCAATAATGAAATCTCTTTGGGCGCATTTTTTTCTCTCTCTCTCTCTCTCAAAATGACGTTTATAAAAAAAATTAAAAATCTCTTTGGCGCATTCATTTTCCTTTTTTTTCAAAATGACGCGTATATAAAAAATCAAAATATAAAATAAAATGCTTTCGTCAATATTGAATCTCATTGGCGCCTTTTTTCTTTTTTTCTCTCAAAATGGCGCGTATAAGTATTTTTCGGTCGTGTAGTATAGGGTATTTTTTTTTTTCCTAAAGTGGGTCTTTAAAGGTGAATTGAATTTGTCTTGATATAAATTTCTCTATTTTTTTCATTTGTCTTTATTTTCCATTTTTCGTTCTTTCATTTCTCCTTCTCTATCTCTCTTTCTCTTTATCTATCTATATCTGTCTATTTTTGTCTATATATCTCTCTTTTTCTATAGTTGTCTATCTATTTCTATCTATATCTGTTTCTCTATCTATCTATTTCTATCTATTCTACCTATTCATATCTATCCATCTATCTATCTATATTCTACCTATTCATATATCTATCTCTATCTATTTCTATCTATTCTACCTATTTATCTATCTATCTATCTATCTCTATCTATTTCTATCTATATCTATTTCTCTATCTAATGCCATTATGACCTTCCTGTTGGATTGTTATATTTTCTTATCATTGTGTTCTTGTTCTTGTTATCATTATCTTTATTAACGTTTTTGTTGTTATATTATCGCTGTGATGGTGATGATAGTGATATTGATGATGATGTTGATAATGATAATGATGATGAAAATAATGAAATAATGATAATGATGATGATGAACTGAAAATAATGATAAATAATGATATGATAATGCTAAAAATAATTATGATAATGATGATGATGATAATGGTGAAAATAATAATATAATAAATGATAATGATGATGATGATTGATGTATTATGACCATTACCTTTGCCAACAATTATGTCAACAATTCTCAAATTCAAAACTACAAATTGAGATCATAAAAAGACGCCATCTATGTAGCTGCAAATTATTTCTGTCCTCGGAAATCTTTGCAAAATTATACATATTTGCAATAATTGTTGTTATAAATGTCGTTGCAAATTCTATTATGATTTATGATGTTTAAAACCTCGGTAATTATTTCTTAAATCTCCTTACACCTTCGTATTAATGTTGTTCATTAATTTTAAATATTAATTGAAGTTGAAGCTCGTTGTGGTGGTGATAGTGATGATGATGATGATGATGATGATGATGATGATGATGATGATATGATGATGATGATGATGATGATGACGATGACGATGATGTGATGGTGGTAGTAGTAGTAGTAGTAGTAGTAGTAGTAGTAGTAGTAGTAGTAGTAGTAATGATAATGATAATGATAATGATAATAATCATAACAATAACAAACAACGATAATAAAATGTAATAAAAAAATAACGTATGAATGATATCAACGATACTGATAACTCAAAACAAACATCAAACAACACTTGAGCCTCTTTAAACAAAAATGTAAATCATGTGAATAGAAAACGCTAAAGTTACCAGGAAGCGTTACAAACAAATTTTAAACGCGATTTGAAGTCGACTGTTTACACAAGATTGCAAGGACGAAAAGGCGGGAATATTTGCTTGTCGTTTTCTTTGTTATTTTTCTCGTTTTCTGTTACCTTGTTTAGTTTTTGTTGTTTTTGTTTTTGTTAATGTTGATCTTGTTGTTTTGTTTTATTATGTTTTTTCTTCGTTCTCTCTCTCCTCTCTCTCTCTCTCTCTCTCTCTCTCTCTCTCTCTCTCTCTCTCTCTCTCTCTCTCTCTCTTCTCTCTCTCTCTCTCTCTCTCTTCCTTCTCCTCGTCTTCCCTCTCCCTCCTTCCCTCCCTCTCCTCTCTATCTATCCTAATTCCCCTTTCTCCCTCTCCCTCTCTCCCTCAGACTCGTGATATCCAGCGAGAGAGATCGGTTAGCCACAGGTACATCGCCAAGAGCATCGCGATTAGCCAATAGAAAGGCAGATAATCATGTTGATGTGATTATCTTTGAAATCTGCATAATATGAGGATAGTTTTTCTTTTTCTTTCTTTCTGTCTTTTCTTTTTTGGGTCGAACAGATAGAGAAACTTTGCACATCCGGGAATTTTCTGCTAGACGGATTATGGCGGGAAAATCGGCGACTCCTTGCTTATGTTTGTTTCTTTTGTGAATAAAAATGGCGGAAAAAGTGCTATTCGATTTTTAATTGAATTAAGGCATTGGTGCACTTATTAGCCTGAGGTTATTTATATATAATCTCAGGCCGATAGGAGTATCTATATACACTTCATATTCATCGACTGACATCCTTATTTGAATATAGGCGGACACACAATACGTCATCTGATCTTCTATATCGGGATCGGAATCTTCTATATAGCC